GTCGGTGATATATGAGCTAGAAACTGGCGATGCATTTCTTGTCCTTTCAAACTTTGTCACATGTTCTTTGTCACATGTTCACATGTTCAAACAATTATGTATGTAGATTACTCCACTAAATCGTAGAAATACTTGATACAAATAAAGAGTTAAGAGCGAATGCAAATTTACTGAAATAAAGCCTTCAGAACGTTATTGAAGTCTCACGCACTAAACGACCATCAAACGGTGCCATTGGAAGAAATCTATTCACTTAAGCACTACAACTTTCGTTATCGTTTTCTCTTAGTTTTTCCCCACAACCAAACCACCGACCACCACCACCACCACCATCTCCTCCTCCTCCTAACTCTCCTCCTTCCTCTACACCACCACCACCACCGCCACCACTACCACAACCGCAAACTCCTCCTCGGAAGCCGTTATTTTACTTTTTATTTTACACGGTCAAAGCCATTGTAGTTGGGTACATACCACAATTCATTGGCCGAGAGAAGGGAAGGTAATTGAGCTAGACGACCTGCATTGAAGTTTGATTATGGTACAGAACAGTGTCATTGCTTTTCAGACTTTTGCGGCCATCTATTCTTTCTACGGTGTGCGATTGTTCAGACCAGGAAGTTATCTTTGAGGTTAAGAAGATGTTTCAACCCGCTATGGAGGGACAATAGTACGTACATGTATCAACACCTAACCAAGACAAATGAACGTAATATTAACGCTAAGGAGCGGCGCTGGAAATTCGAGAATTCTTTATATCCTAAGGTGCAATTGTCATCACTTTGTCAGGCATAAGTGGGGAACTTCTTCACGCTAACGTGGTAGCAAAATTTTCGGATCACAACAATAGGGAGCTACGATAGCGACGGCAACGAAAACCACAAAGAAGCAATAGGTTTATATTACAAAAACAACAACTTGGCACGTGATCAACCTTTTTTGTACATTTCTTTGCCGTCGTTTCACGACCTTCCTAAAATCACGCGCCCGCTTTACGGAGTGTCTGAAAAAAATTTCTTTTTCTTTTTCTAAACTAAGATACGGTCCCTTTCGGATTGAACTCAAGAGAATTTCGCCAACATAAATGAAATTAAATAAGATTGATGAAGTTTGAAACACTTTTTACCTGCGCGGAGCCCCAAGTGAAAGATTCGCGACGCTCATGAATGTCCGTAAGTTGATTTTTTTGGGACTTTTTTTCGGGTCGACGTTCCGAAGGCCAAAAATAAAGTGGGAAACCATCTAAGTCATTGCACAGCATTAACCGCTGACCTCCACGTTGCCAAAACGTAGGACGTGAGGTGTTTGGACATCTTGGCGAGGATGGGCAATTTTTTGAGTTTTCTGTTTTTTTTTTCTCATTTCACCGGCACAGCTTTCACCGAATATGAAAAATATTGTTTTTGAAGACTTTTGTAAGACTTTGAGTTGTTTCTGTTTCTGAAAGGCTTTGACTGGAATGATCTTTAGAATATCAAGGTGTTTGTATCATGCCCGGAGCAGCCATCAGTTCTTGACAACGTCTACCGTTTACATTACAGCTTTTTCAAGGGAATAAAACAAAAAATAATAGCCATTCAACATGCAAATGTTCACGTGATTTGATTCAGACTGATTTGTTGTCATTTTTTGAGGTCTTCATTTTCTCATTTCCCTCCAAAGTGACAATAATAGTAATAGAGTTTATGCTCTTGGACATAAATATGTTTTATGTCCTTCACAGAGCTCATAACCCTCCGCCCCTAGATCTAGACGCCCGGGCTAAAACGAGTCTGAGTCGGGCCCAAAACATAGTTATTCCCGTGAACATAAACTATATTGTTTTAATATAATTCTAATCTTAGTTCATGTACCTTGTTTTCTTTTTTATTTATAGCATTGCATCAAATCTCCTTCCACTGGTTTATTCTATCAGCGTCCGTGAAGGTGGTGTGAAGGAATGGGATCAAGTTTATGACAAGTATAAGTCGGCAAATATTGCCTCGGAAAAGAAGATTCTTTTGTCAGCCCTTACATACACCAGGAATCGTCAAATGATTGAAAGGTAAGTAAAGACTTTTCGATTGTGAAATCAGCAGCAAATCCTAATTGATCAGAAATTCCGAAGGCAGATTTCTCTAAACTAATTCTATTTCTCACGTACGACAATTTTCTGTATATCTGGCTGCCTGTCGAAACTTTTTGGTTAGATGCTCATCTCTTTTGGTTCTTTAGGAAACTGCAATACACGGATGGTCAGGAGTTTCTTTTGGAAAAACCTCTCGTTCAAAAATCGACTTTAATTTTTTTGTCTTAGTCGGGCCTTATTTGTGTTTTGTAGATTACTTTTTTCGTAAAATTCTTATGTTCACCTGAATGCCACTTTGTATCTACAATCAGGATTCTTGACTATTCATTGGATGACGACAAAATTCCCTCTCAGGACACTATCACTGTAATATCCCAGCTGGCCACCAACTCTAAAGCATGGCGGATGACCTGGAATTTTGTTCGTCATAACTGGAAAATTCTTTACAAAAGGTATCGGCTTATCGTTGATTTGCAAGTGATGTAAAGAAATTTTCTAATTTAAAATAAAAAAAAAAACCTAATGAAAGTATTTTAGATATGCTTCAGCATGTTTTTACTTGCAGAACTAGCGTTGTATTATTTGGGTTTTCTGGTCAGCGAGGGCAAGCGTAAGACGGCGTGGAGCGCGCTTCCGTCTTGCCCGTTTGGCACTCCACACCACCCTCGTTTGCCTGAAAAACACAAAAATATGCCTTTATGCAGGCGTACCTATTTTAATTTACATCAATGGTGTCCGCGAAGAATCATCTATCTGAACAAGTCTTGTTTATAAAGCCCCCGAGCAATCACTACCTCTAACAGACGGCTGGACGCATCTGCTTGTTATTGTCAATTAGAGCGGTTTTCACTTGACTGTCGAATTGGGATTGGTTTTGGTTTTGGTTTTGGTTTTGGTTTTACTACGTCATTTGGTTGGCTAGTGTATTTACTTTGGTTTTGGTTTTACGACAGTCAAGTGAAAACCGCTCTACCACCAATCAGATCGTTGCCTGCTCAAATCGAGCGTGCAGCATTAATTAATTTTTCCTGGAGCAGATTTAAGAAAGGGGATGCAAAGGTGTTGTTTGATGTGGCATGCGATCGTGTTTTAGAGCGTTTAAAAAAAAAAGAAGAAAAAAAAAACAAAAAAAAGAAAAGAAAAGAGAAAAAAGAAAAGTATTTAGCTTAAAGAAGCTGGCAAATGGAAATGAAATTCAACCAACCTTAACTGGATCAATAATTACAGTGGAAACCCGGTAACTCGAACCCTGAAAGGAAACTAAAAACAGCTCGCAGGCCAATTAGCGAGCAGTTCGAGTTATCGGGGTAAATTTCAGTGAAATTTTGATCAAGGGAAAAAAATTAAGTTCGAGTTGACGGGGAATTCGAGTTATCGACGTTCTACTGTATTTTCTAGTGTGTATGAACGATGGTTTTTGACAGCTAAGGTGAAAGAGACGACTGTCAAGTCCATCGGTAATGCAAGATCAATGTTAATACAATCGGTATTTGTTTCTGCGGATTCTCATGGCGAATACCAAAGCGACGACGAGGCAAAGCACAACATGTGTTCGGTATTTAATGACATTTCCCATTTCCGATGTTTCTTAATAACGCATAAATTAAATTTTGAATTTACGTCACAGACACGATAGGCCACTCACGCGACCAGCGGTCTCTTGTCGGGAAGGACCGAGAGAGCGGCCGAAATCGAGCCTAGGGAAACAGCAGCAAGTCCGTCGCAGTCAGTTTTGGCGAGCGTTTATATATGAGAAAATATTAACCTCTTTGCCTCAGTCAAAAGCGCTTGTGCATGCTCTAAATGTCTTTCTTTGACCGAATTGACCCGAGCCAAAGTGTTAATATGAAGAAAAGTTGGCCCGGCAAGAAGGGTGACGCTGCCTTTACAAAAGGGTGTCCCAGCTGCGTCGCTTTTCTTGCCGAGTTCAGACGGACGGGCGAACGTACGGTCACCTGACTGCCGAAGTTTCTCGGATGGATATTAAATAACTAAATTTTCGTAACTATGGGGCTCCAATCGAACGCGCCTGGAGCTCCGCTTATAATTCACTACTGTATCTTTTGTCTTCGTCTTAGGTATGAAAGTGATGTAGCACTCTCATCCTTGATTACTTCCTTGATGGCCAGTTGCAACACAGAAAGCCAACTCAGAGAGGTACGATCAGTGTTCTTAAGCATAAGATTACTTTCAGTTTATCGCAAAAAACGTCTAAAAATCTAACACTTACCTTTAAACTTTTTTTCCATAATTTTTTCACATGGCGCCACGAAAAGCTATCTGGTAGTGAGTTTGAACATAACCTAAGAAGTCTCAGCGTCTGAATTTGTTGATTAAATGTGACGCAAAAAGCCCACATAAAGGTGACTTCGACACGAATATTTTTTGTGATAACCAAGGGAACTTTCGACACCATTTGACACGGCATGCATGATTGTGGAATGTAGTGTCAAATTCTTTAAAAAAGATTGAATGTGGACATAGTTTAAAAAAGGTCTTAATTGTCTTTTATGCGTCTTCTTTACTCTCTTTCTAATTGTTGTAATTCTTACTTTTTGATAACTTCGTCGTATTCACAATTTTTAATCTTAATTTTTACTGTAGTTGTATTTTTTAATTGTAATTTTCAGATTATTCTATGTATATTTTTAATTGTAATTGTTAGCTGTTTCATAATGAGGGCCATAGGTTTGTCAGTTTGCTGTTTAGCGCTATCCTTTTAAAATAAAGTTGATACATAAATACATTCATGACTCGAAATGTTATCAGAAAAGTAACACAATGTTTCCCATGTAAGGGAATACGGATTCCGGAATCTGGGGAATTTTTTCTTGTGAAATCTGGAATGTCGAACTTTTTTCTTGTGGAATATGAAATCCTGGGTTTTGGAATCCGAAATACAACTCAAGGAATCCAGAATCCCGCTAACGATTAAAATCCGGAATCCAAGTTCCACTGACATTGAACCCGGAATCTAGTACCGAGAACCCACGGCGTTGAATCCAGATTCCAAGACTATCTTGGATTCCCTTACATGGGGCGATTCACGGCTTAGCATTACCTTGAAATGGGAGGGTATTCAAAAATAATTTGGCCTTTTCTTCATTAATATGAAATTCCTTACCCTGGAATGAAAGTGAATAGAAAATTATATTTGATTTCTTTCCTTATGTTCATGTTTTAAGTTCACGGAATTTTTCAAGGCTTACCCCTCTACTGCGAACGCGTATCGTCAGGTTCAGATGGGAATGGAGAAGATTAGAGCAAATATCATGTGGCTTAGTGAACATGGTGACGAAGTGACGGCTTGGTTAGCACGACACATTTAAGACTGAAAGACGTTCAAGCAATAAAGACGTCCTAAAATTTAACATTTGTTGACTTCTTTGATCTGACGTTAATCTTAACTCTTAAGACGTTTCGGTCGGAAAAACCAAACGTTATGGGGCGAAAGCCACCCAGCAATTTTGCAGTTTTTGGCGGCCACTGTTTTCTGCGATATTGCTAAATGGATCAAATTGCCCTCGTTAAGCACTTTCAACTTTTGACTTTAGTTTGTATATGTGGGCGTGGCTTTAGTTATACTGGTTAAGTCGCATGCTAACGAGGAAAAACATAAACAATGAACTGAGTGGAGTTTATTTCAGGAAGTAAAAATCGGGCGGGTAATTTAAAATCGGCTGAGCGCGTGGCACTACGCCCATTTGAATTTACCATCCCAATTACCCCTGATTTTACTACACGAGGTCCTGTTATTAATTAATTGTTTCAATAACGAAATGCGAGAAGCTGTACAGTACCGCAAATGATCCCCAACCGCAAATGATCCCGAGACCGCAAATGATCCCCAAAATGGACCTCAAACGATCCTCGACCGCAAGTGATCCCCAAAGTCGACCGCAAATGATCCCGAAAGAAAAATAGGAATGACTTGGACTCAAGTTAGTGGATCATCGTGTCGATTAATTATTATTACAATAAGTCAGATTAAAAGCTAAATTTTACTTCTCAAGTAAATATATGAATAAAAACTGAATGAAAAAATCATTCAAGCGTAAAAANTTTTTCAAGGCTTACCCCTCTACTGCGAACGCGTATCGTCAGGTTCGGATGGGAATGGAGAAGATTAGAGCAAATATCATGTGGCTTAGTGAACATGGTGACGAAGTGACGGCTTGGTTAGCACGACACATTTAAGACTGAAAGACGTTCAAGCAATAAAGACGTCCTAAAATTTAACATTTGTGGACTTCTTTGATCTGACGTTAATCTTAACTCTAAGACGTTTCGGTCGGAAAAACCAAACGTTACGGGGCGAAAGCCACCCAGCAATTTTGCAGTTTTTGGCGGCCACTGTTTTCTGCGATATTGCTAAATGGATCAAATTGCCCTCGTTAAGCACTTTGAACTTTTGACTTTAGTTTGTATATGTGGGCGTGGCTTTAGTTATACTGGTTAAGTCGCATGCTAACGAGGAAAAACATAAACAATGAACTGAGTGGAGTTTATTTCAGGAAGTAAAAATCGAGCGGGTAATTTAAAATCGGCTGAGCGCGTGGCACTACGCCCATTTGAATTTACCATCCCAATTACCCCTGATTTTACTACACGAGGTCCTGTTATTAATTAATTGTTTCAATAACGAAATGCGAGAAACTCAGTATTGGAATGTCCAGTGATTTAAGTAAAAAGCCCCTATACCTTTGCAGCTTATAGCTTCCTAAGCGAAAACATTTGTTACACCTTCGGTTTGTTGAATTGATGACAAGCGATGTAACATGCTTGAACCAAGCACTGCAGTGTACCCTGAATTAACTTAATTTACATAGATTTATAGACTTTGCAATGTTCTTGTACCTTAGCGAATGCTCGTCCCCCACTAAACTGAGACCAGGCTCTACTTTCATGTCGCTTGGTAACTAGATTTCTGGCGCGCAAAGCGAATCAAAAAGTCATGCATTCAGTACAGTATGTGACTGTATACCTGAATTAATTGTGTTTTCGGATCGAATATTAAATATTGATGCTTGTGCCTCCAAAATGTACATTCACCTGATTACGGCAGGGACATCAGATGGACCAATCAACACCAGGGCCTTCGCGGCCATATACATGTATCATGCATATTAGCTGGCACAACAAATGCGCCCCAAAAATGTGGATGGCATTTGCAAAAATCTTGTCGCGGACAAGTGCAATAACCAAATGACGTAATACAAATTAAAAGATTGAAAAGACACTGGTCATGAACAACACCCACACCTAAAAAACAATACAGGTGCAGCGCTCTACGATTTGAGCTAACAAGCAAACTGGGAGCAGGTCGTTGAATTGGTTCGCATTAGACCCGTGAAAGGATGATCTTCTTCCATATAATTCTTCACACCGCAGTTGTCATATATGATTTTCATATGTTCATAACTTCAATGGTCTCTGTATTAAACCCCAAGAAACGTTCCAAAACCTCGCTATACAACTTATAAAGTGTCGCTGACCCTCTCCACCAAGAATAAGCCTGCGGGCTCGCATTTTGCTCCCCCGCAATTACAACATGGAGCCTGGGAATGAATTATAACCATTATTTCTGTTGTGCACTTTTTATCAGCACTCAAGGTTTGTTAAACACTTTTGCAAAGGGATGATACGTGACTAAGCTACGTTTGTAGCAGATAGCTTGGCATTCCTTCCCTTTTGTTTGAAATGTATGCTCGAAGCTTTCGTCGGTTACTAAGCTTTGTTCTATACTTTCTTCTGCTGGGATGTTTAGTCAAGCCAAGAGAAAGTGTGACTAATCGCCAAAGAATCATAACTAAGAAGGAAGACAAATTTCCATGGGGAAGTTTACGACTTCCACAGACTTTATTTCCTATAAAATACAACATAACATTAGACACGGACTTAAAAACATTCCACGTAAAGGGAAACGTTGGTATACTCATCAAATGTGCTAAGCCAACAGCAAATATTATTCTTCATTTAAAAGACATGAACGTCGTAAAGACAGCAGTCGTTGAAAAGAAACAAGAGGATGTAGCTGCTTCCGTCGACGTGCAGGACGTTCACGAGGACGACGAATTGAATCAAAGGAGTGAGAAAAGACAACAAGATACAGAATTGCATGTCCTAGGAACAATGAGTAATAAGACTCTTGCAATGTTTCTCATTAGAGTAAACGAGGAACTCGTCTCAGGAAAAACTTACGTGATTTACATTGAATTTAACTATCCCCTGACGGATAAACTTGTAGGGTTTTATAGAAGTTCTTACACTGCAAAGAATGGAGAAAAAAGGTGAGTGAAACGTCGGTTGCGTATCTTATAAATAGACAACACCAATAATAAGAACTATGCATAACAACAGTCTTGTTAATGAGGAAAAAGCAGAAAAAGATGAGGTTAGAAGGGACCAAAATATATCGGCTTCTTTTAGCAATTAATTTTGGAAATTTCAATAAGAAAAAGAAATTTTACTTCATGTTTTCATCAAGAGAGCAATTGCACGTCAATTTTTATCTTAAATTTTCCCCTTTTAGGACACATTTCTTTGCTGAAATACGGTTGCCTCGCGAATTTCTGCTCTGAGAAAATGGAATCAGCTGATAAAACTGCAACTCGTCTCTCTTAATGCATAATTCAAACACTATGCCTAACGTTTTTATATATAAGGTTTGGTTTTGATGAAACTGTTACAGTGGTGCTATGTCGATGAGGGCGGGAGAAAAAAAAAATTCATCAACTGAGTCAGTATAGTAGTACAACAGACGTAATTTTTTCATCCCAGCAGACAAGGAGGCTGTACAATTAAAAAAATATATATTAACCTTAAAAGAATTAACGTTTTTGAAATGAAGTAATTTTTAAAAATTATCATGGACGGAGCACAGAAAAAATAAGCCAATTAGGGAGGAACTTGCCTCAAGGTGGAAGATCAATGGTTAAAGAACTTTTAAAAAGAAACAAACAAGCTAAAGTATTTTGGCCATTTGAAAAGAAATGAGGGCTTGGGAAATATCATGTTGACGGGAAAGGGAGAGCAAAAGGGACATATGGGATGTTTTGACATATCACAATCAGAAGTTGGAAGATTGGCCCAGTGATAGAGATCGTTTTCACTGCACCGTCAAAGTGCGACGTCCAGTAGGATAAGCGGTTGGAATAGTAGCAGCCGACGCGCTGATCACTTTTAAACGAAGAACGCAAAATACTTTTTTTTGTTCTACACCAGTCACAATGTAATCATTCATGACTAAACGAGGTAGTATTTTTTTATTTTAGGTACTTTGCTGCTTCTTATTTTGAGCCCACAAACGCCCGCTTGGCTTTTCCCTGCTTTGACGAGCCAGCAATGAAGGCCACGTTTACTGTGACAATAATTAGACAGGGAGAACACAAAGCTCTTTCTAATATGCCTATAGAAAACACGGTGAGTACTTAACGATGTATCTTATACATATGATAGTTCCAAAGTTCGTCAATATTTGTTGTCTGCAACTCAATTGTGAGAGCAGTAACCACAGAAAAATTCTTATGAAGGACTGACGTCTGTTGCTTGCTTAATTATTTCCCGGAATATTTAATCACCGCCGAACTAAATATATGGAACAAAATTTAAACGTACTCAATGGGACTTAATTCATGGATTGAGTTAGGATTAGGTTCGGCAATCGAACATAATTGAACTCACATAAATATCGCTAAATAAAACACAGTCGAACGTTCGAATTCCGAACTCAATTGATTGGTAAAATGAAGCATCTGTTCATTAATTAAGGAGCTCAGGGCTTTCTTGGTAAATTGATGTTCGCAAAGAAATTAATTGTAAATGACAAAATCGATGCTTCCTTTCTAAAAAATTCGTCTACCAAGTATCAAACGTTCAGGCAAAAACAGATAAACTTTGATGCGGTTCAATTTTCTTTAAGTTTGTCCATTTTTTTAAATTGAAATATGTACCAGGGTTTTAGGATTTTGTTGAGTCAATGTGATGCGTAGATGAAAATTTCTTTCCCTGGATTGATATTTGCGCAATACAAATCAAGAAATAATATTTCATTATTATTCCATCCGTTCCTCTTTTTGTATTTGCAGTGTTATTAATACCCTCGTTTACTGTTATGAGCTGTTATTTTTTATGTTTCAGTCAATTGGATGGCAACTCTCACTTTTTAATGAATTTCGATAAATTTCGTGACGCAGCTCCTTTAAGGGGAGTTTAACTTTAAAGGACTCATACGTATTCCGACGCCTGCCGCTGCATTTGCAAGGGAACATGGCTTTAGATATGTTTGCAAGCTTGAATTGTTTTGGAAAAGGTTATCAAGAATGCTTTTTGTTGTGAAAATGAAAGAACAGTTCTATGTTCTGAAAAAGATAGCATCAACTCATTGCGATTTGTCAGGGTTCTCTCATCCGAGTTGTAAGTGAAATATGTTTTTTTTTTCGTCAGGGATGCACGAGCTATCATTCATAATTTTTACGGGTGCTCAGTTGCCAAGGCTAGGATTTTTATGGAGCCGAACCAAATTGTAGAATTGAACGAATTTTAAGTACAATGCTAATGGCAGTTACCACACTTAAAGCTATTTGGTGAAGTAACTGTTATCTTCGAATAATAGGAATAAATCTGAGGTACCCGGATTCTGGAATCCGGGAAATTGTTGTTTGTAAAATCCGAAATCCGAAAAATGTCCCCACTGCTTGTGGAACCTAGAATCCTAGTTTTGGAATCCGGAATTCAGCTCAAGGAATCCAGAGTCCCGCTACTGATTGCAATCTGGAATCCAAGATCTACTGACAAGGAATCCGAAAACCAGCATCGGGCTGTGAATCGGGAATCCACAGGGTGGAACCAAGAACCCAAGACTGGCTTGATTACTTTACATACTGGGCGATCTGGTTGCTTCTCGTTAAAATTTACTTACTTTCCCTCGGTATCAGTTCATAGATATTGATATTGAAATCTGATATCTATCTTAAGTCCAACCCGCAACCAGGACTTTAAGCTTGCCATCACAAGTTGCAGTAATTTGTTTTCCCTCCTTTTTCCAGGTTAAGGTTGGAAAAAATTTATACGCTGATCATTTCGAAGAGTCAGTTAGGATGAGTACTTATTTAGTGGCATTTCTGGTGAGCGACTTCAAGTCCATAGAAACTAACACAGGCAGTGGCACCAAGGTATGTTAAACTCAAACATGACTTGAACCAGAAAATATTCAGTTTTGAAATGATTTTGGTCAAAATATACCTTTGCCTACACTAAATATAATTATAAAACTCCATTAAGGCCTACAAACGCGCCAACAGCAACACAGTATTTATTTATTTATTTAATCGCTTTCACCATATGGTGCGGAACACACAACAGAGCGGGGCTTCAATTTAAGTGTGTCGTTACAGATAACCCACCCAGCCCAGGAGAGGTTGACCACACCACCGGGGTGTACGTTCCCTAGTCTTTTCGAACAGTGGTGTTGGTTCTATTACGTCCCACACGAACAAATCAGTGAAAATGCTGTGAGACGGCACCTACGGTTTTCCGTCCTTATCCGAGAAGACAAGAAAGTTTAATCGTTAACGTTTATACAGATGTCATTGCAAAGGCAGCACTTTCTCCTTAGTTATCCTAAGAGCCTGAGTGTTGGTCCGGCCGGGGTTTGAACCTACGACCTCCCGCTTAGCAGACCGGCTCTCTCCCAACTGAGCTGACTGGCGGCGTATTTATTGAATATATAGTTGATAGTGGCCGAGACTTTCTTTAATCTGGTGGAAAGAAATGCAGTCTAATCCTCTCCTGATATCACATGCTAGAGTTTTGGATTCTTCATATTTTATGTCAAAATACCAATCGAGATAAACGTTTACCCCTAACGTGGAAGGATGAGAATTTCTTTGCCATTCTGCCATGCGCATGCAATATGTTTTATCTTTCTATCACCCGATTTTTTACTATCCCCTGACAAATATGGCCTTTTGTTTTGCCATTTAAAATTGTTCTTACCGTGTTCAGTTTGGTTTCACAAGGGGGACAATGAACGACATTTTTGTAACTTTTATTTGCTTCTTATTTTCTTAGGTGCGTTTGTGGGCTCCTCCGTCGCAGATCTCACAGGGTGCTTACGCGTTGGACATTGCTGCAAAGACTCTCTCAAATTATGAGAAATTCTTCAAGATAAAGTATCCTCTTCCAAAGCAAGGCTAGTAAACATGTTAATAATAATAATAATAATAATAATAAAAATAATAATGATAATAATAATATATAGATTTAGCGAGGGCTAAAAGCGAAGCTCTCGATGATAATTATGGTTGAAATCATGTAAAGCTAAGCCCGCGAAGGCAACGCCGGAGAACGGTGAAAAACAACAATTGGTATAATAAGCAAAAAAGCAACTTTGCACATGCAGCACACTTTTTTTGTACATTTCTTTGCCGTTGCTTTTCAGACTACAACGTGAAACTTCAGAAACTTCTTAGTTACACGTTTTTTTGAGAAAATGTCGTGCGTGTTCTCTCACCTTGCATTGGTGGCCGCTAGCATTTTTCATTTTGTCACCGCTGCTACAAAATTTTCATGTTGTATTTCCAACAAAAAAAGTCTCCCTTGTTTTTTTTTAATCTCTCGCTCTAAATCTTTGTCGCCCTTTTTCTCGTTGAGCTTCGCTGTCCTTCCGCCTACTTCCTCTTTTTATCAGTCGTGTTCTTGCTCTATATTCCAAATTTGTGGACGTGACAATTAATCTAGGCTTAATACTTTAGACAACACGGATACAGAAACAATTTCCGCTTTCCGTTTTCGTCTTTATTGACTCCTTAGTTGTCTCTGCTTTACAAGACGCCAGTAGCTATGCGATTCCCTGCCAATGTAACCTCGAGTTGCATTTGGGTTGCGATACCTGTTGACTGAGTTATTTTACATTGGTATCCCTGTGGCGCGGACGGATGGTCGAGCGAGCGGACGTATGGTCACGTGGTTACCAAATTTTCTCGGATGGGTAGATTACTTCATTTTCTCGCGCGCGAGAGTTCCGCTAAAAGTTATGTTTCAATAACTTTGTCATAAGTCAAACTACAAAAGAAAACTCGACGAGATTTTTACTGGTGCAACTCCATTTGATGCTTCTAACTGGCTATTTGGTAACTTTTCGCCAAGACAAACGCAAGTAAGTTTCTTGCTTTGGACTCCCTTGCAAAATCTCCCCTATCTCTCCCGGAGAGTTTGTACGGGCGGCCGTTCAAAAGCTTACGTAATATTCAATTTTTTCGCATAGGTGGGTTTCCAATGACCCTTATGCATGCTTCCGTCAAACGAGCAAAATCCTCGAATTCACATTGCAAAATTTCGAAGTTTTGCGTACATGAATCGCCAAGACGGTAGAGTTAAACTAAAAAGAACAACCAGGCTTGGTGGTGCAAATTTGCTGTGACTGATCAATTCAATTTCAAGCTCGTGAATTGTAACGAAGTTGCTTAAAAATTGTCAGGTCAATGCCAGCAAATAAGTCCTCCGGGATTGAGAAAATTCCAGTGCGTACAATCAAAGATAGCCTTCCTGCTACCCTCCCGATGATCACAGCTTAATTAACGCGTCTTTCACTCGAGGAATTTTTCCTCGCTCTTGGAAATTAGCTGAGGTAGGTGTCGCCTATTCTTAAAGATGGTAATCACGAAGAACCTACCATCAACCGGCCTATCTCTCTCCTGCCCCTTCTTTCGAAAGAATGCGAAAGGGTTGCGCTTGATCAAGTTATGCCTTAACTACTAGGCACCTAGGTATCAAATGGAAGGTTATCTACACGACAAAGTGGTAATAAGAAATTGCACTCCACGGCAACCAGCTCCTTAATACGAACAACTAATGCGATTGATGGAATGAAAATTAGCGCTGTTGTTTTACGCGACATAGTTAAGGTTTGGATACAATAAATCATGGCATTTTGCTCAATAAACCACTGGATATTGAAGCCTCGCCTTCATCAAGAGTTACTTGGTTTCGCCAGCTATCTATCCAACGGACGACAAGTTGTGCGCCTAAATTTCTAGTTGTCTGATCCTTCACCCATCAGGAGTGCCACAAGAAAGCATTCATGGACCCATTTTATTTAGTATTTATGTAAACGACTTAACACATGCCCTCGGTCCTGAACGAAGTTTCGTGGATGACACTAAGCTTTACATTTCCTTCCTAGCCCACTGGGCTGGTGATTTGAATGTTGACCTCCCACATATTCGAGATTGGTGCTTCGAAAGTCGTCTCCTCCTGAATCCTGATAAAACTAAACTTATTGCTTATGGAAGTCTGCATTGATAATTGTTTATGGAAGTCTCCCGGGTATCCATCTCTCTCTTTTAGGAAAAGAAGTATTACCGGCGCACGTCGTTGAAGACCTAGGCGTGACTTTTGACCCGCGTCTTACTTTTCGCGTGCATATCGTTAAAACAGTTTCTTTCTGCTTTCTAAGTTTAGCTCAAATCAATCGTGTTAAGCACGTGTTTAACAGATCGACTTTAACCACAATAATTAACGCTTTGTGTTTAGTAAGTCGTTTTATTGCTCTTCCGTCTGGTCCAATGCAGCGGACACTCATTTCCTCAAGCTCCAAGCGGTCCAGAACTTTGCAGCCCGGGTCATCTGTGGTTCCAGTTAATTTGACCATGTTACTCCGCTGCTGAAAGAACTGTACTGGCTCCCTGTTAAATCACAGTTATATCCCTGTGAAGCTGTGCTTACTTTCAAGTGTATGACTGGCTCCACTCCCACTTACCTCTCATCGAAGTTTCTAACATGTGGTGAAGTAACGGTCACATGTCTAGAAGCTCACAACTTTTACAAATCCCCTTATTTAAATCGAGATCTGGACAAAGGACATTCTATTACCGTATAGTAAGTGTAAACTTGAAGGGCCAATTTATTCGCCGCTTTTCTTTCTTGTCGATCGGTCTTAATCTTAGGGTCTATTTCAATTTTGCGTCACAAACTTCCCCATTCATTTTCTAATAATAGCGCCTTTCTCTTAGAGACCAAAGCCCTTTACATTACTAATAGTAATAAACCTACTAAAATATATTAGAATGACTTAATTGTTTACAAAACATGAAAAACAACGAATAGCTCGCTTAAAAAGAAATGTTTTGATTTTTGATTTAAAAACGCTCAGCTCACAACATGTGCGTAAACTGACTGGCATGGAATTCCGCATCTTTTATATAAAGCTTTTATCTTGTAATTCTAGCGCCTATTTTTTAGCGTTTTCATTCTTTTTATACAAAACTATTGTATCTTTGTAATTTTTAGATTTACTATCGGTTTGACCTACCATCTTGTGAATTAATTATTATTGTCACTGAAAAGCTCCCTCTTTGGGAGTGTCATTACAGTTTGTATTGTATTGTATGGTATCATACATAAGGCCCATTTCTATAGCAGTGGAGACTGGTACGTGAGTGCATGACGATCATGGCCCTCATATTAGCTAACTTGAAATTGCGCACACAATTGCAATTTGCATATTTGGCGGGAAATCATATAGTGGGTTATTTACCGGTTTAACAACTAACAAAATCAAAAAAGGTTTGTGAAAACATCTTTTTATCATTAGCTCTCACACTAAACCTCATATCCAATTTGAGTAAGCGCCAGTTAATTATAAAAAGTCGGCGGAGGACCATATATAGCCTATTGAGCACTTAGAAAAGAGAAATACTTTGAATAGATAGTGTAAATATTCGCCTACAACCTAATAAAATCATGGACATACCCGCTATTGATGCGTAGGCGCGAAGGTTTTCTCTGTTTGGGTAGCTATATAAAAACTCTATTGCAATCAAATGTTAAACGATTAACAACAACAACAAAAAAATCCTATAAGGTATTATTATTTTTTTCTGCAACTGCTCTTCCTTTTGAGATTGAAACTGGAAGGTTTAGTACTTGAGACATTTCAAATATGTTTAGAGTGCAATCTAAACAAAAGATTTGAAAATTTAACAGACATTGCCGTGTACCGTAATCAGTTTCTAATACTGTATTACCTGATGATTTAATGGGTACGTTTCATTGAGCAAGACGCCCCCGTAGACTGTGAACAATTATTTTCATCTAGAAGTTTTATCCATAGATAGTAGAGGAGACTGGTAAGGAAAGCCGGCAAACATCAAAGTTGAAAACAATGGTGCTGTAGATTATGTTGGAAGCTCTCTGACCCTACACAATTCTTTGTTTTTTGTTCACAATTTGTGACTGAATAAATTAATACCATGTTTCTATTGGTAAGTAAGTTCAAAATGATAGGAATGCTATTGAACGTTGTGCACAGTCAGGTTCAAAAAGCTAACAAAAACCTATAACAAAGGGTTTCGCAACCATTTCACTTTAATTAACTATGTTTTTTCTTAGAAATTGAATGGTAAACTCACTTTTGGTTCTGAGTTTGTATCCTTTTGTCTGTTTGAGGCCTTCTGGGCTGGTTTGGCAATCCTGTTGAAAATTCCGTATCATGTTGTCAACTTATGATTTTTCAGACCTAATTGCCGTGCCTGGCTTTGGAACAGGTGCTGTAGAAAACTGGGGAATGATCGAATTTTCTGCTCCGAGGATTCTCTTCGATCCTAATACGACATCGGATGCTTTTCAACAAAAAGTGTGTGTGACTGTCACACACGAATTATCACACCAGGTATGGGGAGAATCCCAAGTGATTGTCTGACATGTGCTAATTATGATTTGACACAGCGCTTCAGTTATCCCCTGTCAATAGTATTAGTTGACACTACAGTTGCCCCCTCTCTGTATGTTGTTGGTCAATAGTATTCTTGGGCACTGTTCACACTTATCCGGATATTTTTGAATCCGCGAAATTTTTCTTTGCGGATTTAGGCTGCGTAGCATGCGTTTCCGGTAATTTTCGAGACAAAGAAAGACCGAGGAGCGGGATTTTGGGTTTTGGCTGCGCGAGAAATGAAACGAGAGCCAAAAAAATGAAAGAGGGGGTGGGGGAGGGAAAGGAAGGAAACTTCTTCAGCACCCCATCCCCCATTGCGCCATTTTTCGCGCGGTCTTCGTCTCTCGTTTCTCGTTCTTTGCTCCGAAACCGAACGGAAACGCTCGCTATACGCAGGCTATTGCGGATTCGGCTTCCGTCCAAACAAATGCTATTTTTGTGACAGCAGAGATAGACCCATACATTTACATTGTACCTACAGTCACCAAGATTTAAGGCCGTATGGCATGCGGGACGTCGGTACAGTATTTCATGCCTAGGGAGGTGAAAAAGAAAGATTCAAGATCGTTCTTTCCCCTTCTTAAGTTGCCAGATTGTTAACTCACAATAAATGCCATAGCTCGTTCATATAATACCGAGTATTTTTGTGGTGCTATATATAATTCTTTGGTCCTACGGTAGGAACTCATTGGTCCAGTTACACATTCTAGATTTTCACAGTGAGGTGAAAATCAATTTTCAGGATAAAATTCTTAGCACCGCCTTCAAAGTTCAATGCGTTTATACTTTGAGTCAAAATACGTGCCTGGCGAAATATCCCTCGTTTAAAAAATTAATAATATTTGACCGTGGAGTTTTCTCCGTTAGGTTAAATTAGTGGGTAAGCAGTTATCGAGTATTTTTTTTTTCGGATCATGAATAAAATCGCAAACCTTTAAAATTAAGTACTAAATGGTAGTTTTCGTTCTTCATAATTGGATCCTCCCTGTCGAATTTTTTCTAAGTTTTCACGCACTAGGCGTAATTGACATTATATTACCAGTTTTGGAGGAATCTCAGTAGTTATTCAATATAAGTATATCTTAGTTTTATTGATTTTTCAGTGGTTTGGAAATCTCGTCACCATGAAATGGTGGAATGATCTTTGGCTTAACGAAGGCTTTGCAAATTATTTGGAGAGTATAGGGACGACCCTTGTTGAGCCACTCTGGAACACTATGGACCAGTTTATCCTTACGGAGCTTTACGTTGCTTTCAACTATGATCAGTCAAGTTTCTCGCATCCTGTGTCAGTGGAGGTGGAAGATCCTAAGCAAATAAAAAACATCTTTGATGCTTTATCATACGGAAAGGTTTGCAATTGAGCAATAAATAATTCAGTGTAGCCAATCAAACCTTTGTGTAATAACTGATCATGATATCCCTCTTATTGACCGAGTTCTCGGTCCGGACAGTAAATTAATTACGGACCGAGCTTTTTTTCCATTGATTTGTGGCCCAAGAGCGAAGCGTGCGGGCCATAAATCATTGGCTGTTTGGGCTAACTGGAAACAAGTGCAGGGCGCTCAATGTGACAGTCATTTGACTGGCATAAAAAAAAGTTTTTTATTGGCTTACGAAAACAATAGCACATTACAAAGGCTTTCCATGAAAGTAAAATCNAATCAAACCTTTGTGTAATAACTGATCATGATATCCCTCTTATTGACCGAGTTCTCGGTCCGGACAGTAAATTAATTACGGACCGAGTTTTTTTTCCATTGATTTGTGGCCCAAGAGCGAAGCGTGCGGGCCATAAATCATTGGCTGTTTGGGCTAACTGGAAACAAGTGCAGGGCGCTCAATGTGACAGTCATTTGACTGGCATAAAAAAAAGTTTTTTATTGGCTTACGAAAACAATAGCACATTACAAAGGCTTTCCATGAAAGTAAAATCGGACTTGCAAATGCGCCATGTTGAAAGCGTTTATTTGGTCAAAACTAAGAGCCGAGAAAGTGTTCTGATTTTGTGATTTCTTCATATTTAAAAAACAGTAAACTCACATTATATTAGTTAAAAGGGATGTAAAGTTCGGAACTAGTTGTGGGAGAGCGGTACCATTTGTCAATAGAAGGTATACGAAAAGGGTACCTTTTTTGTGAAAAATGGTACGCATAAGGGTAAGGGGTTGAACTTCGGGTTGAAGCCTCCCCATATAAACCTTTCTCGAATACCCCTCCCCCCTGACGTAAGTTAAATCACCTCACTTTAATTTTGGACGAAACCTGTAAATTTCTACGTCAGTTGGCGAGATTTTTACTATTTGACAGCCTATGTACTGTGTATATTCAAATCGTTTGTTTATATCACATTTTTAACTCTTCTTTATTTCGAAATGTACCTTTCCCGTCAGTTTATTCGACTAAAGTTTATCTTTTAAATTAGAAGATTAGGGCATATGGGAGGCTTTCCCTGCGATACACATTGGCCGTCGCCAGATTTTCAGGAACTTTTGAGCGCCAGACGTTTTTCTTCTACCATAGGGTGCCTCTATAATCCGGATGATGAGGAAATTTCTTGGTTCTGAAGGATTCTCTTCAGGTCTTCAGACATACCTCAAGAAATATTCTTATGGAAACGCTAACACTGATGATTTATGGGAATGCCTAACTCAAGTAAGACAGTAATAGAGACGACAAGTCGTTACGTTACATTGCCATGATAGCAAAGTTTCTGGCTGACAACAAACTGGAAACGTCACTTGAGTGAATTCGCACTCTTTCAAACTTCATCGAACTTATTCAGTTTCATTTAATTTGTAAAATATGGCGAAAGTTACTAAAGTTACCCCCCGTACCGGTGGGGGGGGGGGGGTAACTTTAGAAACTGAAAAGAAAAAGAAATAAATTTTGGTGTTCTGTCACCTTCTCAATAAAGCGAGCGCTTGGAATTAGCAATTTTCATGTCGCAGTGGTGCAACAACGCCTAAGAAATATACAAAAAAGGCGTAATGCGCGTGCAAAGTTGTTGCTTTGCTAATACAAATCTATTGCTTTTTTGCGTTCGCCGTCGTCGTTGCTTAAGTTCCCTTTCGTTCTGATCCAGAAATTTTGCTACCATGGTAACGTGACGTCACACTTTTTTCTTTGTGGGTCACCCAAATAACACAGACTGAACCATTGGCACTACGTAAAACCCTTAACCAAAACATTTTCCTTGTGGTTGCATACAAACCGAGTTTGAGTATAATTTGGCCGCCTTAACCCCTAGAATCCCAATATCCACAAACATTTTCTCTAGACTGACGTCCATACGTCATCTGGAGAATTGGTTGTGAGAATTTGTTTGAAAATCTAAGTACCACTCAGTTGATCATCTACTCATCTACTCTCATCAGGGAAAATATATTCTGATTACATAGCGATATCATCAATAGAAAATACGTCACTCTTGGGGCTTAAAAAAATATAAAGGGTTAAAGAGATTCATTGTGGGGCCACGTAGCTCTCAGAATCTGATCTTTTCATTGGCCTTTTAAAACACGCCTACTAGTGTTTTTACCGCCAGGGGCAATGTTTATTTCATCCGTCTTTATTAGTTTTATAGGCGTAATTAGTCCCCCCCCCCCCTCCCCCCTTTAGTCCTAAGAGCCGCCCGGGGTGCTTTTAAATTTTTTAAAGTTCCTCCCACTAATTTTTTAAGGAAAGGTATGAAACTGTTAAACGGTTGGGTAATATTATCTTAGGGGTCAAGGAGGGTTNTAAAAAAATACCACATTGTCACAACTTTCCAATAAAACATTGATCTTTATCCATAGCAAACTGGCATCAATGTAAAAAGGGTGATGGATACCTGGACACGACAAATGGGATTACCGGTGGTCACCATCACGCGCATGGATCAAGAGAAGGCGAGAGCAGATCAAAAACTATTCCTTATCACCCCCGGTGCGAAGCCCAACCAGAGTTCTCCTTTTGAGTAAGTGACGTCAGGTTTGCTAATCTATGTGATGAGTCAAGTTTTTAAGGGTCTAATTTAAAGGAATAAGATTACTTTCAACGCAAATACTGAAGATCCAATAATCACTGCAAAAACAGGCCCAAAGTATGTCACTTTGTAGCTCTGTGCTCTCATAGGACTTTTAAAATGATGGGAAAGTTTTTCTTTATGCATGCCAATCTTCTGTTTCCTTAATTCAATTTGCGCTAAAGTATTTCTTTTAAAATGACTTTCACTTTCTTAGTTACGCATGGAATATACCTCTAACTTATATGACTCAGAAGAAGAAGGCTACAGTCCAAGTTTGGATGAATAGAGGGCCTGGTAAGAACTGCTTGATTTATTGAATATTTGTGCTTGTATGCTCACAGCTATATGTAATGCCTTCCCTTTCATAGCGTTTTAATTTCAAACTACGGCGTAAGGGGTCATCTCATTTTTTTTTTTCAAAAAAGTGTTAACCAAAAAGAAGTAGCTAAACATGGCAAATTGAATTGTTCTACACTGAAGCTCTTTGGTCATCCACACTAGGGGCAAACTTGCCGAACTTTCCTCAAGGATACGCGAAGATATCTAAGGTAGTCATGGGAAACTGATTTCTGTGTGATCATGGCAAAATCTCTGGGAACTTTTCTCCAAGTTTTGATTATCCTGTGCGGTGTTAATGTGTCCAGTTTCCGAAATTTTGCCAATTTTTTGGATTTTAAAACCAGGGTCTCCGCGTCAGAGATTTTGAAACCCTCCAGTCCCATTACTTTGTCTTACAGACAAGAACTATTGATTTAGTCCAAGTAAAATGCCCTAACCTCAGGCGACCACTCTAATATCTATGAAAAAAAAATCCAGATGAATAGACAAACCAACCAAAAAATATATAAATGAAACGAAAACAGCCACTACTTATTCCTCGAAATCTATTCTAGCTACACTAAACTGGGCCTCCTCTGACGGTTGGATCAAAGCCAATGTTGATCAGATTGGATATTACCGAGCAAACTACGAAACAGAGAACTGGAAGTCTCTTTACCTTCAGTTACAATTTGACCATAAAGTAAGGGCATATATACACCCATCAGGCAGGTTTATGGGAAACTCTTGTCAATTCAGACTCTGAATATTTTTTTAGGAATATATTGACATTTTTAATAACTATTTGTCTCACTGACGAAAAAAAGAGTTGTCCTAAGTCTCTAGATGTCTAAAGGTTTCTTGAAAATCTGGACCTAAAAAAGGAGATATATAAGGTGATAAATTACGGAACAGCTAGAATAAATGAACCAAAACTAGGAACAGTCGAACCTATATTAACCGGCAAAATACCGCAGTCCTGGTGACAAAGTTGTCAGTACAGCACATAAAACAAAACCTCTATTAAGTATTCAACTTTTATTGAGCTGCCTGCAACTTGCGCAGTCACCTTGCTACTTTGCTAGAGAGCTTAAGATACAGCGAGGCCGCAAGAAAAACAGCATGGTTACATCAGTGTACATCATTTAAAAGTACGCTAATTCGTCATTTGCACATACTCCTATAATACACCTTGTATGTAAAGACTATAATATACCCGGAAAAATTAAAAGCCAACTAACAGTTTAAGGTTATGCAGTTCAAAATTTTCCGGGGAAGGGAGAGGGGAGAAAAACAACTGAGACAGAAGGTGTATTATGGAAGATGCACAAATCAGGGGAATTTCCCTCTGCCAGGGTCAATTATTCTGAGTCGTTTGCTCTCCACCAGGGTCTTTAATTTTAGCAACATGTGATAATTTAACTTCAAAGAGCCATTACTCACGAGTTTATAACTTTTTTTGAGGCCTTGAGGGCCACGGACCGGTCAGGATTGATGGATGATGCTTTTCATTTGGCAAGGTAACGCATGTTGTTGTTACAATTGCTGAAGATACAAATTTATTTAAAGCCATGCATTTCTTCAACATCTCCCTTTTCTCACGGCTTCTATTTTTATTGCCTCATTTTGTTCCCTCACTTTTTCTCCTTCGTTAATTGCATTTTTAGCTGTACTGACTTTTTTTCTTCGGTATCTCTATCTAGGAGCAATCTGCTGGATCAAACTATCGCTTTGGATTTGACAAAGTACATTATTCACGAAACAGATTATGTCCCATTGAAAACATTCATACAAAATATGCTTTACATCGGCAACAATTTAGCACTGCGAAAATCTTACGGATTGTTCAAGGTAAAGATGTGAATTTTTTAGGTTTAAGTAGTTAATTATAGTAAATTGCTCCCTTATCCACTTACTCAAACCAACTTGTTAGGTTGATATTTCCGGGTAGTTAATTGTCGTTAATTAACCAATTAGAAAAGATTCAGACTAGTGTCGATTTTGTAAACAATCATGTAACTTTAATGAATCATGGGCTGAAATGTTCTAAAAACTATGGTCATAAAATTCATTTGAGATTATTTATTCATTTAAAGCACAAAAATTGGACGTTTTCTGCCAACATGCCTGTAAAGCCCTTCTCATATTAGTCCTGATAGATCAGTCTAAAATTGCCGAAATCCCAATTATGAACTTAGTTAGAAAAACAGTGTTTTTCTCTAACAAATTCATATGTTTAGTCCCCGTCGTATTTTTTTATATATATTTCAAGAGAATATTATGGAACAGAGAGGGAATCTTAGAGCACTGGCTGGGATATGAGATTTCACTCAAGTTTTTTTTAGAGGTTGTAATTAAACGGGTCTAAATCCTGAAAACGTCCGCAAACTTTAATAAAGTCCAGAGATCGATCAACTCCTCAAAGTAAAAAATGCAGAATATTTGTAACTTTGGTGAATTTCACATTTCCCCAAGTAAGGCTTGACGCTTCCCTTTCAGTTTCCCATTCTTCATTAATTAAGGTACGGTAAAACGGGCAGCAAAAAAACTTGCAACTTGTTTTGTATCATGGCTGCAAAACGAGTTGAATAGCGATGTTGTGCGTTCTACCACCCACGTTGGAACCTGCCTGCAACAAATAATTAAGGTTACAAGTGTAAAACAAGCGACATCCCTATTCAACTCGTTTTGCAGCAATGTTGCTAAACAAGTCACTCTTGCACGTTATTTGTTGCCCGTTTTACTGTAGCTTTAATGGGTTCGGAAAATTGAGCCCCTTTATAATAAGGTGAGTAATACTAGGTGTTGCTTCTTGTTGCCTCAGAGGTACATGTTGCAGCAGCTTGCTCCAGCTATTAAGCGACTGGGATGGGAAGATAACGGATCTCACTTGGATAAGTAAGAAAAGGAACAAACCCTTTCACTCCATTAATACAAATGTGATTTCTGAATTATGTATAGTCTAAGAAAACACATTTTAAGCACAATGTTAACCAATCAGAAGCACTACCCAGATCTGGGTAGTGACACGTCATCAGTATGGAATTTCTGCGCTCGTTTCTCAGACGTCATCTGGCGGGAAAACCAGTGGTAGGGTCGCGAATTGTTTCCTGTTTCCTTAGGCTAAGTTATGTACCGACTGAGAAAATTGACCGCATGCGTTTTTTCATACTGCCATGTATCTGTGTATGAATTGTACTTACAAACTTACATATCTTTTTGCTGTTGCGTGAGCTTCCAGAAAAACACAAATTAAGGTGGCTAGACAGTTTTTTTAGGGTGGATACCTCTTAAATTTGAGTATTTACCTCATCGGCATTAACAAAGATATCAGAAAAAGGATACCACAGCCGTATTATATGAAGATGAAAATTTGTTGTGATCCATTTTTCACTGACATCAGAGTTGCTATATCGACACGCCATTAAGTTTTTTCTTGCCTTGGTATTTCTTGCTACCATGCGGGAGTTTTATTAAAAATCGCCTAACGGAGCTTTCACCTCCCTTAGTTGCCTCGATTATAGCAACGTTTAAACAAACTCTGTGAGAGGGTCTTGAAAATATTTTGAAAAACAGTGAATAAACATGCTATCGACATAATTGGCTAATATCTAAATAAAAAGATGAGGCATGGAAATGCGGTTTCATCTCACAGTGGTTTTATTCCATTTGAAACTGTATACCATACGAAAAAAGGCGAGTTTTGCTTCGGCCGATTGCGAGAAAGAAGAATTTGATTAGCGTGTGTTCGGCTGCTTTCTTTACCATTTTTCTATTTAATTTGGTCCATTCCTACAAATGTCACGATAATTTTATAAACCGCTTCATAAATTTTTTTAAAAGCGTGACAATCCCGAGAGTAGGTCCGCAATTTATATTGCCTTCAAGTTTCAATCACATTGAAGGAAGGAAGGCCATTAAATGGGACTTCAGATGTCATAATTTTCCCCACCCCCAAAGATTTGGTGGGTAAAAGAGAGCGTCCTCATTATTCACTAAAAATATTGTTTTCAAGTTACATATTCACATGCACAACTTTAAGCAAAAAAACTAATTTTCATTCCAAGGCTTTGGTTATTACTGTTCCCAAAAATATAGAGCTGTACTTATGTGGATTCACCTGTGAGTGCTATAATAAATGCTTATCTATTACTTATTTGGCTTTTATTTCATTTTTCGTTTTCTACAGGCAGCGTCATTGTCGTAGGGTCATTTTAAATTAATTGATATTCTTGCTATAATTGCTTTGCAGACTTCTGCGGCCATACATTCTTTCCACGGCTTGTTATTGTTCAGACAAAGCAGTGATAGCCAAGGTCAAGGAGATGTTTCAACTCGCAATGGAGGGTCACTTGTACGTATAAAAACACTAACAATTGCGCCATGTAAGGGAATCCGGATTGAAAATTCTCGCCTTTCGCGCTCATGTTTTTAACCCTTGATAAATAACTGTTGCTCGCGTTTTAACCATTACTTTACTTATGCTCTGTTAATAGATAACCAGGGATGAGACGAAACAGGGCTGTGAACATCCTGGCCCTGAGCTTCAGTTATTACGTTTTTTTTTGCAGCATTGCATCAAATCTCCGTTCCCTAGTTTATTCAATGGGCGTGCGTGAAGGTGGTGTGAAGGAATGGAATCAAGTTTATGACAAGTATAAGTCGACAAATATTGCTTCAGAAAAGGCGATTCTTTTGACTTCCCTTACATGCACCAGGAATCCTCAAATGATTGAAAAGTAAGGCTTTATTGTAAACACTTGAAGAAATTATTTTTGGAAAGAAATTTTGGATTTTCTAATTGAACACAATCACAAGAACGGGTCTCACCACTCTCAAATCAGTGTTCCTGCGAGATGCATTTTATAAAAAAGATAGTGACACGAAATTCATTTATGGATTTCACTTTCTTTTCGAAAGCTGTTAAATTTAAAAAAATAGACAACAGCTTTCTATGGTCTATTCTTTTATCATCATTTCTAGTAAAGATAATAACAATAATAACAATTCATTCAAACTTGAGGGGAAAAGGAATTATACTCAAATAAAAACAACAACAACGCGAAAAGAAATTTAAAAAAAGAAGAAAAAAGGTACAGTGCTAAAAACAAGAAGAAAGAAAAGGAAAAAATACAAAACAAAAAAACGAACAAACAGACAAAAAAAAAAAAAACGAGTAGCGTACTTAAACCGTACATCGAGGCAGTAACACTACCTTCTAAGTTACAAAAAAAAGTGTTTGGTGCAAAGATACTTAAAATATCAGATAGCGTTTTCTAGCGGCAGCTTATAGATTTAAAAAAAAATGTTAAAGAAGTTTTTTCCTCGTCATACACTTATGACCTATTCCGAATTTAGAATCATTTTTCTTCCTTTCATTTTAAATCCTCGATGCCATCTCAGCACTCATGTACGAGACGTTGCCATGACAGTTTTGTAACCTCAAATGTGAAATTACAAGTTGACGCTTAAATTTCGCGCCAAAATGAAGGAGTAATGCCACCAATGATACAAGTGAACAAATCGATTTGACAATATCATATTCGCTCCGTTTTTCCAACAGATCATTATCGGCCTTTAATAACTTTACAGAAAAGGTGGAGACGAGAGAAGAACTTCTTAACAAAATTACAACAGAGAACCTCGACCATACCAAGAGGCTTACTCTGAAAGAAAAAAACATAAGTTCATGGATATAGATGAAGCCCAACGATAGAAATCGAAGAAATCCTAAGGCATTTCATTCGATAAGACTTGTCGAACGTTTCTCCCAAGCGTTTCCCAAGAACTTCACTTAATCAAAGTAGATTGAATGATCCTTAAAAAATTTTCAAAACTGCGAGTGCATTTTTTCCTGTAGCGATGACACACTAGCTATGCCATCTTTTGCGAAGATTTCGCTAAGAACTCTTTTTCTCTCATGTGTTTCTCCGTTTTTCTTGCTTGTAAACAGCTAAACTTCACTTGCTTAATCCGAAATAATCTCGCAAACATTTTTAAAACCGCGCGCCTATCAGGGCGCGCGTAGCTTATCTTGTTTTGTTTAAAACATGTATAAAGGACATAGAAATATTATGAAAAAACCAACAATAAAACAATCACTGAATGCCGCTTTCGTATGATGTGAAGAATTATGCAGATCTCGGAGGCTGTTATCCACCTTCGCCTCTCCTCGATCTGCATAATTTTTTTCATCATACTGTTGAATCGACTAATGCCCCAGACCTACCCTGGCTCCAGAGGTCCGTTCTCAAACTCGTTGACGCGGCTTAGCCGCGAACGATCAGTATCGATAAGAAAAAAATATCGTCTGGAACCCAGGGTACCCTAGACCCATCTGCGCCCGAGAATCGCGCAGTTATTGTAAAATTTTCTCTGGATGTCCCAGTGGAAAGCATTATTTACCGGATGTCTACTTTAATTTCTTAAACTCCATCTAGTTTAATCACTGTTAATGAATGTTTAGATAATGTCTTAAATATTTCGAATTTGCATGGCGTTTAAATCGGTCTTAATTTATCATCTTATTATTCTCTTTCGACGATCAGTCTTTTTTTATTCTTTTTATCTCAAGCTTATTTTGAAATGTCTCTTGGTCACTTTGTATCTAGGACTCTAAATTATTCACTGGATAAGGACAAAATTGGTTCTCAGAAAACTCTCATGGTAATATCACACTTTGCCTCTAAACCTGAAGCATGGCGGATGGCCTGGGACTTTGTGCTTCGTAATTGGAACTATCTTTACAAAAGGTATAAATTGTATTAAACATATTTGTAATGTACCAGGAATTTGTAGTTTGTAATGTAGCAGGAAATTGCATAACGAACGCAGAGAACTCAACAATATTTTACTTCAAGTCTGTAAGCACATGGCAAGAAGAGCCTACTGCGCATGTACGAAGCGCATAAGGATTCATGGGATATGACAATATTACCGCCGGTTTGCCTTTGACCTAATCATAAATTTAGATTAGTGATCAGTACTTTCTGAATTCTCAGTTTGATGATACGAAAAGACACTTGTGTTTTCTACATTTCACTTCGATAATTCGGTTATTTTTTTGGTAGTGCGCTTGTGACCTTTTAAAACCATTCAGGTCACTCGAGAAAGAGTCACTCTGGTTATTAAAAGAACACGAAGACAGAGATTTTGAGCTTTTGCTATCTGAATACTTCATATATTGGAATACGTATCTGGGTGTCGATCGATGTTGAATACGCTCTTTTAATGAGTAATCTCAGTCGGTGATACATGTTGTTCTTAGCCTCCAGTCACTTGAAACAGAACACCACCATGGCGACTCACTACGGCATGAAAATGCACACTGATCTTATCTCGACGAGTCTTCATATTAACTTATTTTATCGCTGTAATTCTTGTCTTCATGAGTTTATTGGTTCCTTCTTTGATCGTTGATAGTGTGAAATGAAAAACCAGTGATACAAAGTAGACTCAGTTCTATGACTCATGAAAACTATCGTCCACACCAGTGAATACCTGATCATGTGCACCTGTTTCGTACAGCCCCTAAACTGAGTGACAATTAGTGCCATGCACAGTTTTTATTAAAGCTAGTGACGTGACATGTGGCACTATAAATGTTGTTGTATCTGATCAGTTCCAATGACCCTTTGTACAATATCTTTGTCTTCCTCTCAGGTACGGGACCGGAAATGGCTGGTCAATCTTGATTACCTCCTTGATGACCAATTGCAACACAAAAACCCAACTTGATGAGGTAAGATCAGTATTCTAGCTTAAAACGTCAATATTAATTTGAGTAGCCCAATTTATCATCTCTCTGCCAATGTCTTATTAAAGTTCATTTTAAGGTGTCACCTTTCTATTATTGATAGAATATTGACTGCACAGATTATGCGATCTCTCTAAAAAGTCAAAAGCATTGCAGTCTCTGGACTCTCCAAGTGGCGAGCAGCAAAAGTGCGGCCGTAGACACCCCCTCAACTTTACTAACATTTTCAGAAGGTTAAGTTGAGAACTTTTTACGAATTTCACCGGTGTTCTAGCTCTACCCATGCACGTAGCTTGAGAGGGATGGTGAGGACTGCTGACCATTGTTATGCAATTATGTGATATAAGATTGTTCCCCTGAAGTAAAAGCACAACGGAAGCTATGTTTAAAAATTTTACTCCTTCAATGTTTTTATGTCTTCAGTTAATGGAATTTTTCAAGGGCTACTCCTCTACTGCTCTTGGGTATCGTCAGGTTCAGATGGGAATGGAACAGATTCGTGCCAATATCATGTGGCTTAGTGAACATGAGGAAGAAGTGGCCGCTTGGTTTGAACAAATCTTTTAACTAAATCGTTCCTGTGCGAGATAATTAAAAAGACAAACTTTGTAGGAGAATGCTGGTGCGTAGCTACGTGTACGTACGGTACACACGTGCCTACCAGAAAATAATAAAAATAAAATCAATAAAATCAAACTTGTGAATAAGAAAAGAAACGCAAATGAATGACGAGATAATTATTTTAAGAGCCCGGTTGCTTTTTTGATTTTTTTTTCTAAAACAACGTACTGTTCCCTTTAACACACCCGAATGTCGGTTTCCAGTGAAGCAAAGCGAAGCAATTTATTGGTGGACTGAATGTTCAATTTTACATTTAGAGAAACGGCGGGAAGATAGTGCGCAGCGGCAAGCTGGGTGGTGTAAGGCGTGAACGCTTTGTTTTACCTGCGCATGTCTTAAGATTAGAGAAATTAGGACAGGATTACGTCAACAGAGTGTGCTTCTCTTAGTGAAAAATCAATGAGGCCAACGACGGCAAAAAATCACTCACTTGCTTGCTTACTTAGTAGCTTGTTGCATGGCTTTAGCCGCGTTTACACTAGCGGCGAAATTTTTTCCGGCTACATAAATGTTTCCAGATTTATTCCACTGAGGGTATATATTCGAACACATTTTCGCAGGCGTTCATACTAAAAACTCATTCGGATTCCCAAAAGTTTACACACATCGATAAACCTATAGGGGCTTTGGCAACGAGGACGACGGCGGCAACGAGAACGTCAAAAAAGCTATAATAGCTAGGTTTAATAAGTAAAACAACAAATTTGCCACGTCTAGCATTCTTTTTTGGTACATTTTTTTGCCGTCTCTGCATGTTATCGGTCATGTTGCGATTCTTATCCCCAGTTTCAATGAGTCCATGACTCCCCTTTTGTGGACTAAATACGAAGAAAAGGAAACGGCTTGCAGATTGACTCTCGCTGCTACGCAAGCTCGAGTAAGTACTTTTTGCAGTCGAAATTAATTTCCAAAAGTATTTGTCGATCGCCAAAACGACCAAAAAACCAGTAAAAACAATGGCGACCAAGTTTCTTCCTTGATGATGATGTCATTACTTTGCGGAAACCAAGCGATATATACATAGAAATATCAGGCCGCCCAAGTTTGCAGGTCGCTATGTACCACGCGCGACAAAGTTATAAACCTTCACCACGCGAGGGCCTCACGGCAATCACCTGGCAAGGAATAAATACATTGAAATACATTTTGAAAGTTCACTAAATCTGCTCTTTTTATTTTTCTGTTTTGTTTTCCGCGACATTTATTTTATTCGACTGATTTAAATTCGACGTCTAAAACCAAGTCGTGCTGAAGTAGAGCCAGCTTAGAACGGCAGTAGCACGACGTTTGAAACGGGCCTCACTGATCGGTTTTTTTTTTGCAACAAACACCAGCATTTTTTTGGTTTTGCAATCTATCTGATGATATCTTTCAACGCATATAAAACAGTATCCCTTGATCCATCCTGGCTTTCACAGTAGTGACCTTGGTATATTTATCACTCCAATTACTGTACACTGTAGTGAATACAGACCATTTCCCCCTTCCAAATCAATTCAAATCTTCGGGGTTGTTTTGTATTGAAAAAAAATGCCTTGTTAGTTTTAGCCTCACTAATAATCTGTGATGTAACTTAAGAAAACAGCCGACTTCTTGCGACGCCATCGCTGGTTTCCCCGCAAATGACGTCTGAGAAACGGGCGCAGATGAAATTCCATACCGATAAGGCGTCACTATACAGAACTGAGTAATGCTTCTGATCAGTTGAGGAAATTTTCCTTGACAGAACGACCGAGATCTGCCTAAATCTGTGTAGTGACATGTCATCAGTATGGAATTTTTGCACCTCAGACGTCAGTGGTATACCTTCAGCAAAGATAAGCCACGTTTTGCGCTCCTTTGCGTTCCCTCATAAAAACTAATATCCATTTATTGATATTCAGGTGACCTTTTTTTTTTGCCTTGGGCCAATCAGATCTTTTTTCGAGTACAACTCTGCCAATTATTCAGAAGTTTCGATGAGGATTGAGAATTCAAGGACTGTTGTTGTTGATTTCTTTGGACGATCGGCTTTGTAATTTTTGTCTTTTTTCTCGCTGTTTTTTTACTGTTCTGCAATAGACTGTTCGTCACCACTTGAATTCAAGTCGTTCTTTCGGGTGTTGCATTTTGCTTTGCCACGATTTCTCGGATGCGAAATGCGACATGCGAATTGTAACTTCATTTAACACGAACTGGCCCAATGTAAAGGAGTCAGGATTCCAGAATCCGAGAAATTTAATTTTTGCTTGTGAAATAAGGAATCCTGGGTCTCTGGGCCTCTGTTTATTCTACTGTGGAATGAAAGGTGCATTAACATTTTCATTTTGATCCATCTCACTGACAATAAAAACAATAAAAACGTCGTATTAGTTTATTCCATCACAATTTGTGAATTAAAAAAAAAAAGGGATTATGCAGGGTCAGGGAGCTCCCAAAATAATGTCGTTTTTGATTCTCCTTTCATGACTAGTTTCCTCTAATAACAATGGTCACATGTTCTTATGATTATTGCGAGTAATTTTTCTTTAAGGGGTTGCTCCGCGACAGCCGGTGGGCCTATGGATTTGTTGAATTATTATGGTGTTGTCAGTAAACACCCACTTGGGTTCGAGTTTGGGGGTCCTTTCTTCTTTTGTTTTCTTTTGTCTTTTCTCTGTTTATGTTTTGGTTAGAGGAAAACGAAATAAAACAGGGGACTCCAGCCCCAACCACTGGTGGACGTCTGATTGGCACCTTGGTTTCACTTACCTCTTATACTTTGAATTTTTTTTTGTTTGTTGCATTATTTAAACTGTAACTTTTATTAGCTGCAACAATTATCATGACAGTAGATATTATTTTCAAGCAATAAACAATCGTTTTGGCTTCTGACTCTTTCAGTTTATTAAGTTGGGTAATTTTTAACTCAACGTTTCCCTACAATTTACAGTTAGCAATACTTGCTCGTATTAGGGTCGACAAAACTAAAAATGACTTTAAAAACACTCTTGGAAATCGATGGCTAGACATCTAGTTTTAATCAGGCGTAATCAGCAAACCTTTGTCATTTCCAAAGCTGGCAGATATTTCTTTACGCTCTGTCAACCCACTCCAAGCGCTACTTGTATGTATGAAAGTGTTGGCTTTTCGCCCTCAAAATTCGAGCTAAAAACAACATATCCCATTATTTACACCACTATCACTAAGCGAGACAGCAAGTACCTCCTTTTCGATTCATAATGGAGTTCTACCAGGGCTTCCAAAAACATGCACCATGAAAATACCTACATTACATACCTAATTATTTACATTGAAATTCACGTAGAAATTATGCAGTCCATGCTCTAATGTTTGTGAACTCTAGCGTCAGTTTTGTTGTACATGGATAATATTCCACGATTCACAAGTTATCAAACTTTGTCGACTCCATATGACTCCAGCACCTGGGCCGATGAAATAATATTTTTCAATGGACCACGACACTACTGAACTGCAGCTATTGATAAGAAGATAACTGGGTATAGGTTTTAGCATTACCATTTGTCAAAGAAAAAATGACCGCAGAATATAAAGCTGTTCAAACCCGAAATTCCGTCAAAAATTTTGTATCTCGTTTCCTTCTTCCAAACAACATCCCGAATCCCGACCCGCGACAAGAATTATATCATTCCGAAAAAAGAAAGCTTTTCATTGGTTGGTTTCAGCTCTTTGTTTCAAGCCTTGTTTATTTACACTGGATTTTGCACACAGTCGCGATCGAGAAGTCACTGAGAAACTCGTTAAAGAAATAGATTGATGTTATGGTAAGCAAAGTAACTAAACAGAAAGTTAATTCGTTTTTTAAAATTGAAACTAGCCAGGGAAAATTCAAAACCAATCTTAATTTTCTTTGTTGACCGGTATGTAATCCTCTTTGCTAACAATATCGCAGATCATGCCTTTGGCAGTGGAGGTTGCGACATTGTTTCGACAGCAAAAAATCTGTGCCCGTCTCAGTCGAATTACAGTACAGTGTATGGGCATTCATGATCACAGGCTGACAACAGACGCTGTGGAGAAAAGTTCAGGGTATTTTAAGGTAGGAGGGAGTACTAGTTAAGGTAATAGCCTATAAAGGTTTGTTTTTGCCCTGGCCTTAAAAGACTTTGTCAGTAACTTTTTCTGCATAAAAAGCAAAAAGTAGTAAAATCATTCAATCATGGCATCTGAATAGCACTTTGATGTATTGCTTTATTCATACTTGAAACTAGGTTTATCGATAACTTACACTGGGGAATAGTACAAACGACCTTTATGATGTACCACTTTAATACTATATAGTCTTATAATAAATTAAGTAACATTACGTAACTTGAACTTTGCCGGTTAAATTTCCAGTTGGAAGAAAAAGAAACTGTCAAAAAAAATGAAGTATAGAAGTGTAAATTGCGTGCCTGACGTAGCACACCGATCTGGACTGGTTTACCTTTTTCTTGGATGTTAAATGAACCTATCCTCGACCTAAATTCCACCAAAAAATTTCCAACGGTCATAAAATCGTTGACCGTAAAATNGGGGGGGGGGGGGGGGGGGGGGGGGGGACTCCCCATAATTGCCTATAAGTAGAGGCTCCACCAGAAAGCTAAGCGGTACCTTTTTCATTCTTCAGGTATATCAAAGGGTAGGGATTTTAATGGTTGAGGTATATGAAAGGTAGGCAAATCTGTCACTTCGGTCTGTTATTAAAATGACCAAAAACTGCCACAGAAAGATTTTATGGCCCTGAAAAAGTCGAGAAAACGTCCTTGTTTTGTGATTTATTCATATTTTAAAGACAGCGCATTTGTGCTGTTGAAAGAGATGGAAAATGTAAACTAGGGATGTGAAAAGGGTATCACCTATCAATAGAAGGTATGTGAAAGAGCCACATTTTCTATCAAAAAAGTTATATAGGAGGGCAAGGGGTTGTACCTCGGGGCGCCGCCTCCCCTTATAAGACTTTTTTAAAATACCCTCACCCCCCCTGGGTCTGAATACCGCGTCTCTAATAGCCTACTTTCGTATACTTAAAGATAAGAGGACTTATAAAGGTAATCTAAGGTGGACCATCTGTGCGACAGGTTACAATTTCCAATCCCGCTGGACGAAATCAGTTTTAATCCAGTATTTACATATTATTACTTGTGCTGATCAATACAAACAGCCAAGACTGTAACTAAGGCTCGAATAAAATTCCCCTTATCTGTTTAAAGCTTCAGACAGCCGGATTATTACCACCCAATCAGAAGAATGGAAGTAGTATAGAACAGAGATTTAAAGGCTTCCTTGTTGAAGTAAATAAATGGATTATTGAGTGCTTACTAAATCTCATTGCCCGTACTCTGACCCGTGGAATTTGACCTGTATTATATGTGGGGCGAAAATGGAGTGCAAATGTAGATTAGTACAGGGGCACCCAATGGATCTGTTCCTCAAAATATCTGTTCTTCAGGCACATTTTTGCTGGCTGGGAGATGTGGAAGAAATAATAGTCCTTGGAAGGATAGTGTTGCTGGGAAAAAGATAATTCAGGGTGTCAGAGGGGATTTGAAGTCTAGAATAGCTGCTACGGGTTACTTGTATGGGTTTCTTACCACTCAAGATCTGAATTGTGCCCTATGAAACTTCCCAGTAAGTCAGGTTGCAGGTTGTAAGTTTGCTGGCTGGGAACTCTTCCATCAGTCTTGCTGGGAGTGAGGAACAGATAATTTTTTCCAGCAATCTTCCAAAATGCTTAAAATAGTCTCAGAAAACTTTATTCACGCTTTGTTGTTGTTTTTAGGTCTTTTTCTCAAAATTTCCCGTTGGGTGCCCTTGTTAGTAGACACAGACCCCTTCGGCTAATTTAAGTTTTGTTTAAAATAGTTTGGGTCAATCATATTGCTAGAAATCAGCAAAACTGTTAACATGGAACTCTCTGAGCGAGAATCCAGAAAAAATACACACGGAACGTCATGGTTTCTGCATCGAGAAAAAAAAATGTTTTCTCTTTGTATTCCTTGTTGTATCCTTTATCATAGACCACTTTAATCCATCATAGCTTAATTCGCCCGGACAATTTTGCGGTTTGTAAAATCAAAACCCAAAATAATGTGTTAGTTTCCTTTTTGTTAAGAGTCTAACGCCTATTCTTTTTTTTTCCCTTAGGTACCATACAGAAATAGTTACAAGCTGGAAGACTGTGATAACCGAAGAAAATGGGTTGAACAGGTCACCAGAAAATCTTTATCAAATGTTGGTCAGTGGCTGGATCCACAGGGTACCCATGGGAGTCATTCCACTGAACGTTTGGCCGGAAATATAGAAAACCTCATTGGATTAGCTAAAATTCCTTTGGGTGTTATTGGCCCGCTTCTCATTAAGGGTGATCATGTAAATGAACATATTCTATGCCCTTTTGCAACTACAGAAGGTACACTTGTTGCATCTTCCACCAGAGGAGCTACAGCAATGACCAGGTAATTTTAACTGTATAAAGCGGAGCTCTCGCTCAGCAGAACAGCAGGGTAAGAAAAAAAAATTGGTTATCAACATGATTGCATGCAATAAATTTTGGTCCTGACAAAATCGTCCGTTTGTACGTTCGCCCTTTTATGTTAGCAGATGTGAAATGTCTTGTAGGGCGGCCATTTTTTTCAGCTCAAATTTGCAAAAAATTAAAATGATGGCAATTTTAACAAAAAGTGATCAAATATCTATTAAATAAATTTACTTTTCAGGGGGACAGGAGTTTCCTCCTGAAAGTTGAAAGTTTACACCTATTTCTACCACGACCTAGTGCAATGATCTACAATGTCGATTATTTTTGAATAATTATGTACCAGTTGAGTGTTGGTATGGGACACAGTTTGAGCATGTTATGGGAACTTTGAGTAAAACGGGTGTATAATTCCGTTATTCTAGGTGCGGAGGAGTCAGAGCACGAGTGATTCAGCGACGAATCATGAGAACACCTCATTTTGTTACGGACTCCATCCAGCAGGCACAGACGTTGTCATCCTGGTTAATTTCCCACTTTGAAGAACTTAAGTTAAGAGCCAGTGAAGTTAGCCAACATTGCAAACTTCAAGCGCTGGAACCTTGGTTTGTTGGTCCGTTTCTTCTCCCTTTTTTTTTTTGTTTGATACTAGACTCTTAACGGCTCGAAAAATTGAGAAAAGCTATAACCTCAATGAATGTACAAGTTAAAGAAAGTAAAAATGCTTGATATACTCCTTTATTTGCCTGTGACCCCTTCTTCCCTCCCTTTTTCCTCTTATTTCTTTCTAGGTCGCAATCTGCTGATGGAATTCGTTTACGATTCTGCTGATGCCGCTGGACAAAATGGTGTAACTGTAACAACCTGGCACGCATGTCAGTGGGCTCTAAAACAGATCGCCAAGGAGCAACCGGATATCAACATCAGGGAGTTTTACATTGAATCTAAGTGTAGTGGCGATAAAGGTGCACTAGCAAAGAATTACATTAAAGGTCGTGGAATTGAAGTTCAGGCCGAAGCTTATATTACAGAATCTGTCCTGCAAAATGTCTTAAAGGTACCTTGCACAATGTAACATCCTTGCTTTATTGTAAGTTTCTTTTTTCGCAACCCCTGATCGAGGACACGGTCGGTTATTACGGCTTTCTTTCTTTTTTTTTTTTCGTAGTTTATGTATTTGATAAATATTCTTCAAACTAGCATTCGAAATCCCTCGAATCCTTTTTTACCCGTTCTTGACATAAATATTAGTCAGCAATTCGGGTATTGGCTTCACAAAGTCTTCTAATCTTCCAACCTCATTTTCAAGCTCTGCAATGTCAAAACAGCTGAGCCGTGGTCTTAGCATGACGTCATATTTGTCATTCGCCCAATTGGATCTTTGCCGTAAAACCGTTTCCTGTATAATACGCTAAAAAACGTAATAGCACTTTAGTTTCCTGTAATACGATTCACTGCAAAATTGGCTGACCATAAAAAATTAGGACTTTTACAAGTACACTATCTCATCAATGTTTTTAAACAAATTAAAATTTGGAACTTCATGTACATTCACAGATAGTGTGCCCTGACGAGAGGCAGTCGCTAGATTTAATTAGAACTGCTTCGACCATGTCTAAATGTAAGTCAGAACGTTATCGCCATGTTTAGCTTCTGGCTTTGTGATCAGACCACTAATGTTAACATGCAATATACTTTCCTTTCATTTGCTTGCCCTTCTTTGAAACTAGCTTTGTATGGAGAAAAGTTGAACTGGCAGGGGTAGAGAAAATGTTATGCAAGTTTGTAGGCACAGATCAGTGAATTTGTTTGTGTTATGCAACATTTCAGCTATTTATTTTTTCCTTTGCATAAAAGGTAGATTCCTCTACCTTGAACAGGTGTTTTCATGCTCTCCAGATAGGTGCGCAGAGAGCTGGCTCGTACTGTGCTAATGTATGCGTCAGTAATACAATTGCTGGGATATCCGCTGCTACGGGACAGGATTTGGCGTGTGTTCATGAGAGTTCCTGGGCCATGCTTGAGATAACAACAGAAAGAGAAATAAAAGTTGGTGGTAAATAAAAAGTATTTGAATATGTGTGTCTAATTTCAAAGCTAGTTCACCGTTTGTTATTGAAATAAAAAAGAAGAAAACGTGTAGGAAAACGGTGGATAGATAAACGTTCGGATGGACTCTATCCGTGGAAATGGAGCAAAGAACCTTGTTTTTTCCAACCATCATTTTATTACATTAATTTCGATGGTTAAAAATCCTCAAAATTGTCGAATATATAATAAACAAATAAATATCGAACTTCCGTATTTTTAATTAATTTTAAAATATTTTTCTTAATTATAATACCCTATTTACCAGATTAAACACCGCCCTCGATCAAACACCGCAGATGGAGACAAAAAAACGCTCCATATAATCAAAAGAATGCTGCCTTAATTCAAGGATTATACGAAAATTCGGTGCAGCTTTGTAATCTACAACATCCAGAAAATTGCGATTCTATCTCATCAAAAAAGGAAGACATGAAAGCTTTTTTAAAAACATGTTTCGTCTTTACAAAATATTTCTGATTAGTCAGTGATTTAAGAGGATAATGAGGATAGTGGTCGAACTTTAGCCCCTCCACACCGCCCCCAACCAAAACTACAACTGTCCCTCGTTTGCTGCCGGAAACGGCACATTTTTTGCCCTCCGAAGATCTGAGTACGCGTCTCCTTGTGCGGTGTGTGAAATCGGCTGAGAAAAAGACGTTTGCTTGTAGCAGCGAAATATGCAAAGAGTTGAAATAAACGGCACCCTTGTATATACCGGTCGTCGGAAACGCTAAGAATTAAAAAAAGAAGGCCGTGGCATTTAATCGAATTAGCGAAAAAGAACGGGATCCGGGAATGGAAAAAAGGTAAAATTAAGTCGGTCTATCTAACGAGAGAATAAAACTTAAACGTCTTCAAGGTGTCTCGAATCTCCTTCCCTCAATATTAAAACATAATTAGCATGACCAATCAATTCCCATTAATCTTCTTCTTCTCCTTTTTATTTTCTTTTTGCCTTTTAAAATAACAACGCTATTGCAAGAAGGTGTAAATACAGAAGTTAACACATTCATCTTACGTTCTTTATCCCCAAGGAACTGAGTCTGGTGAGTTATACGAACCGGGGATTTACGCTAGCGTTGTTATTCCTACTCTTCTTATTGGAACCGTGGGAGGTGGAACAGGGACACCAACTGCAAAAGAATCTTTGAGGATGATGGGTTGTTTTGGAAAGGTAGGAATCTTTCCGTGCAAGTAACAAAAAAACCTTTTGGAGGTTTGAAATCTCTAATGTGGAATTACAGAATTCGGCGAACAGAGGACGCTTAATCCCCCAAGAATTCAAACTTATTCTTCCCTTCGCCTCCACCACAAAGCTGTTGGCCTCTTTAGTACCTGAAAAATCCCCAGCGGGATAAGTATCGAACTCATTCATGACACGTTAACGTATTCCTGCTTACCTTTCTGAGGATAGGAGGCAAACTTTGCCCCCTCCACCCCGCCTCGCTCCCAATCAAAACCACAGCTATCCCCTCGATCGTTTGGTGCCGACAAGGGTACATTTTCTGCCCTCCGGTGATCTGAGTAACCGTCTCCTTGTAAATTGTGTGAAATCGGCTAAGAAAAAGACGTTTGCTTCCAGCAGCGAAATACACAAAGAGTTTCTGAAAAAAAATTGACTTGGGGAGTCATTTGGCCTGGTGGAGTTCAGTATAGAATATCTTATATTTTTTTCACTGAGTTGATATTGCAAATTTGCCAACGCGAAAGGATTGAAAAGATGACACCGCTCAAAAAAATTATCCAGTAGTTCTTTGGTGCCAAGGGAAATTTAAAAGCAAACAAACAAACGAAAAACAGATTGAGAGTTTATTCTTAATGTTCAAAGAAATCCATTTCCTCCTCTATTTCAGGGTCGTATCTACAGATTTGCCGAAATAATTGCTTCATTCGCGCTGGCTATGGAACTCTCCACTCTATCAGCAATAGCCAGTGATAAATTTGCAAGTGCACACGAGCGATTTGGAAGGAACAGACCAGAGTATAATGAAAACTAGTGTACGACAAGTTTGCACGAAATTTGTAATTCTGTAATCATTAATGCTGTCAAGTTGCAAAGCTCGTGAAAACTGTAATTTCATCTTCACAAACTTTGACAACGACTTATTGGTTCGAGCGGCTAACTTTCTGCCTTAGGGCCTGTTTTGGAAGTGTGGGACCCCAGGTAGGTGAGGTAACCTGCTTAGGTGGGGTAACCCGCATGTCCATATAGGCTCTCATTTTAATTTGATGACGTTTACCTTTTAGGTGGGGTGACCCGCCACATGTTACCTCACCTATCTGGTGTTGCCACCTCCATATAAACAGGCCCATAATTGATGACAATACAAGACGAGACAATATTTTTATTTGGAGTCTTAAACCAGCTGGTAGATCAACGTGTTCCAGATTATTCATACAATATATCTAGCCGGATTTATGAAAACCGCATGCGCACCAGCTGGCTTCTCGAGGCCACACACCTTAAACCGACTCAACTAAGTAAATATTGCCAAGAAACTCAGCTATTACCCATGCGGTTCTCTTAAGGTGACTCTCTTCTTGGTTCCTGATTAGCGAAGAAACATTCAAAGTCCATCAAAAAGACACACTGGACTTGGCCATACACTCTAGCTGCTCAAAGGATCTACATGACAGATGCTTGAGACTTAAGTAGGTTCTAAGCAGAGAATTCAAGGCCACATCACCCCCCTGACTTTCTTCCCCACCCAAGCCTAGCAGGTGTTTGAGGGGAATGCTTTCATTGGCCGATTGGCCTCAAATATTAAAAGAATTTGACATGACAAACTTAAGGCAAACATGACGAGTGCACTAACTCTGCCACAGCAAGACTAACGGGCAGTAACAGGCTTTTGCAGCACCCTCCCCTTCCTAGGGATTGACATGGAGGCCCCTTCCCAACCCATGGCGAGTTAGCTCAGGGACTGAGCTTGACAATAAGACCAACCAGGACAGCAAGCCCCCTATGTTTTTTCTCACCGCAGTGACCAGAAACCTGGCTATCGCCAGGTTCCTGTGCGGAAATTCTGGCCCGTTTGGAGGTATGTTTTCAAAAATTCGGCTAGGTATACTTGTTATCAATAATTAAACAAGAACAAGTTATAATAAATAGGGGTAATTTGCAGATACGTATTTTTATATATCTAGCCGGATTTAAAAAAAAAAACCTTTACCGCCAAATTGACCTTTTTTCCGTCTAACAGTTTTTTTCTGCCGTAAACTCCAAGTAGCCATTATAAAACTAACTGAGTGCAACCATTCCTTTTTCCCCTTCTCCTCCTTTCTTGCTCCTCGCTCTTTCTTTTTCTCTATGTTTCCTCTCCTTTTCTCTTTTCATTAGTGTGATTTTGGAGCTTATCGAGCCCAAAAAGCCTAGTTACTTCTGACGCCTTTTCACTCAAATGACTGCAAATTTCTTTGGGTTGGTTTTCAAAACATCGGCTAGATAGGTATTTTAGGTAATTTAACTCAATAGTAACTGCCTTCCGTACCTGCAAAAAAGGCTGACTTTTCGGGTCCGAAGTCCGGCCGCTAGTTCATATTAAAACACCACTTATTTTGTGTGCTGTCCGCGTGAAAAAAGAAAAGCTCGTAACCTCAATGGGACAAAACCGTGAGCCCACCATAAGGTCATGTGATACTGGTCAGTGGATACCATGTTTTGACAGCTGTCAATTTACAACATGAATGCGCAATATCATTCCACACTACCTTACTACCAACATTTCTCGAATGGATAGAACCAAATTTTCTTAGCCATGGCGCTACGCTATAACCTACTCCTCCCCCGAAGGGCTGACTCCTGACTCCCTCCCCCTCCCCTAGAGTCGGTAGGGTCAGCGTTCGGTCGTACGCTGACGTCATAACCAAATTTTCTCGGATGGATAGATTACCAAATTTTCTTAGCTGTAGTTATAAGCTCGCGCGCGGCGAGCCCCAGCTGCTAGTCGGCGGTCGAGTATTGTTTCATTGAAATTTTTCCTTCCCGTTTGATTTTCCAAGGTGTCTACTAGTTCTCAGGCTCAAATCAGGGGAAAATATAGGTAGGAAGTATGGGTAAACTCTCAGGGTTCTATTTATTTTGTTTTCCCTGTGCGAAACGTAAGTTTCATACAGCTTAACCTGACCCCGGCACATAAAAATAAATTGGAAACCGTTCAGTGGAAGAAGCCAAGAAAATGTTATAAAAGACTAATATATAAATTATAAAAATTATAAAAGACTAATATATAAATAATTCATCCAAATCCTAGGTCTTTGAGGCCCACAGTTTCTGAGTTATTTGCCGAAACATTTCACGCACCTTTGTAGAGCTTTGTACGGAGACGCCATAAACTGTCCACCAATATGGCCGCCGGAAATTAACAAAAACATCTGGAGTTCACTTTTTCTATAAAAGCTCTTCCTTTTCACTCGAGAACTAGCATACGTGCGCACAAACACATCTTGTTATACTTGAAATGGTTAAACTGCTGAAAATTAAGAGAAGAGACTTTTTTCAATGAGACAGCATTTCTATTTTGGAGTCACGCACAGTGAGAACTCGGAAGTTCAAATTGCTGTATTTTCGAAATCAAACATGCTTCGGGGCTGGAAAATTGCACAAAGACCTATTTTCTATTTATCTTCAACCTAAACCTCGCTTTTTTTTGCAATCTGATGACGACACTGTGAAAACCATCAATTAACGAACCCCAAACGCTCGAGGTCTCTCGTCATTAAAACTGAGCAGACTACTCGCTGGCACCAGGGTACTTGCAATTTATGGTGCTATGGGGAGCACTAATATATCATTGGCTGTTGAACATGTTCTTATAATCTTGATCATCTGAATATCTGAAGTAACACACTTATGTCACTTACTTAAGACAACAGGTTTGGGATTGCGTTACAGGGGTCGTTGACTGTTAACGCCAATGACTTGTGTCGGCCATCTGCGTTCCTGACGTGTTGACACTAAATAACATCGGCCGAAACCAACAGTTCCGCGAAAAGACCATAAGCCCGCGTCGTTCAAAGCAATACAGCTGAGTTACAGATTTAAGGTTTTTTTAAGTAATATAAACTAGAAACGACAATATTGACCGTTTTATAACTCAAACTAACTCAAATACAACATCCTCGCCGCGATCGATCAAGCTGAGCGGAAGTCGTAGTCATTTTGTAAGACGCCGCTGACATATCGATGACTCATTTGGTTTAGGTCGATGTTACTGAGTGCTTTCCTCCACCACAATCGACTGTAGCGAAGATACAGTTTGTGCTTCAAGAGTTAATGGTTAATTGATTGGAGCCGTTGAGACAAGATCAGACAGCGGGGTCGTTCAAGTGTAAGTTGATTTACATTTTGTGCATTCTTTTATAAACTGACCACGTCACGCTACACACATTCACTGAGAAACTACAAAAGTTGTTACCTTGTGGGAAAAATCAGAAAAAGAACAGACAGTTATATTAATTGAATGTATATTGCGAACAGTCAAAGCCAATAATTGTTTTCATTGTTGACGAATATTATATCTTAAGTCCCCTTAATGATGTTACAGGTTATGGCCGTTTTTGCGACTTCGTCTCGACAGCACAAAGTTTTCCTTAATCGCAGCCGAATTTCCCAACAGCTTATGGGAATTTATCGTAAACTAACAACAAATGACGTGGAAATGATCGCAGATAACTTCAAGGTAAGGGAGACTGTTACAAACTACAATCTTGGACAAAACTGTTGAGAAAATTGCGTGCTTGGGGGGCATTTGTTCTAGACTTGGTCGCCGACCGATTCTTCCCTCCCCCCCTCCCCCTGGAAGCAGTGTTGTTGGGTCTTCAAAAGAAAGCCGGATCCCTAAGCATTTGTAGGCAGCAACTTTGAACTGGGGGAGGGGGTTTTCTTTACCCAAAGCCGTTCATTTGGAAATAGTTTTGTTGCGTTAGGTAGTGCATATTAATGAAAACATTTTCTCTAGTAGTTTTGTCCAGGATTGTAGTTTGTTTTCAGTGTTCGTCAGAGGAAAACACCCACGCTGTCGAAATGAACAAATCTTGATTGTGGACATTCCACCTGTCATCCCATGACAGGTTTTAAACATCCTGATCGATTTCTTGTCTAATCTTCGATGACAGATTTTGTGCCTTCTTAATACCTGGAGCACACATACATGAAAAATATGCGGGCTGTGTGATTACGAAGCCTCTTAAGCTTTTCAGAAAGGTCATACAGTTTCCACACTTTACTTTGCAATAAAAAAGGTGAGGCTCAATAAGACTATGAGAAACTTTAAATAATACATTAAAATAATATATAGATTTAGCCAGGGCTAAAAGCGAAGCTCTCGATAATATTTATAGTTTGTTCAAACAAAATATAAAATCGTGTAATGCTAAGCGACGAAGGCAACGCCGGAGAACGGAGAAAAAACAACAATAGGTCTAATTAGCAAAAAAAGCAACCTTCCACCTGCAGCACACTTTTTTTGTACATTTCATTGCCGTTGTTTTGCACAACCACAACGTGAAACTTCCAGAAACTTTTTTATGGAGGAAATGTCGTACGTGTTCTCGTTCACTTTTTTTTCACTGCCGCTCATTTTCTCCTTGCATTGGTGGCCGCTAGCATTTCTCATTTTCTCACCGCCCCTACAAAATTTTCATGTTGTTCTTCCAACAAAAAATGTCTCCTTTTTTTTTTATCTCTCGCTCTAGATCTCTGTTGCCGTTTTTCTCGCTGAGTTTCGCTGGCCTTCCTCTTTTTCTCTGTCTTTCTCTGGCTCTATATTCCAAATGTGTGGACATGACAATTAATCTAAGCTCAATACTTTAGAAAACACGGATACAGAAACAATTTCCGCTTTTCGGTTTCGTCTTTATTGACTCTTTAGTTGCCTCTGCTTTACAGACGCGGGTGGCTATGCGATTTCCCGCCAAAATAACCTCGAGTTGCATTTGGGTTGCCATACCTGTTGATTGAGTTATTTCACATTGGTATGCCTGTGGTGCGGACGGA